GTGTGTGTGTGTGCGTGTGTGTGTGTGTGTGTGTGTGTGTGTGTGTGTGTGTGTGTGTGTGCGTGCGTGCGTGTGTGCGTGCGTACGTGCATGCGTTTGGAGTGCTTCTACATTACTTTGTCTGTCCTCTATCACAGGTCAGTCCTTTCGTCAACCGGTCGTTAGGAGTTTGTAGTTTGGTTGGCAACAGCGGCATCTTGACTGGAAGAAAATGCGGTCAAAAAATAGATTCCGGCGATTTTGTCATTAGGTAAGCTGTTATCCGGGATTAAAACACGGGAAGACAACATAAACGTTTATGTCTTTAATTAAATGTCTTTAATTAGAAAAAGAGATTTAGAGATCTAGACTTACAAGCTGGTGGAGTCTGAGCACTACTATCCCCCGTTTTTTACTACAGGTTCAACATGCCTCCTGTGTGTCCTCCGTACTTGGACGACATCGGCACACGCACGAACATGGTCACAACCAGTCGGGATAGAATGAGATCCAAGTAAGAGGATATGTTGGCTGCAAACCTTGATGAAATTTAAAGAGAACGAAGTGAGCTTCTTAGATGTGTTGTTATTCTTTTCGATCGCATGGTCATGAATTTGAATGCATAGCCGAAAAACTCCATGTTCATGTATGTGGCATAGCATTTAAGGGCCATGCATTCGGCTGTTCAAATAACGTTCGGTATGCCGTTTTCAAGACATGTATTATCTGATGATTTTATCAGCACTCAGAGAAGGTTTGATACAACCTTGACGGGCTTCTTGACTGAAACGCACCAAACGTTGGCGCCAGTTTCATCAGAGTAAATAATGAAGTCATTGATACACCAAACGTTTTGCATGAGCTCAGCAAATAACATTTTTGCAGCATAAGCCAATGCTGATACGTATATTGTGTGATCCTGTACAGGTGGGCGCTTCTGAAGACCGGTACCGGACAGAAGAAGTTCCTTCACCACCTGCATGACCAGTACGGTCAGGACACCTTCATCGTGTCGGCACCTTTCACAGTCCTCAAAAACGTAAGGAATGGGAATGGGTGGGGGGTGGGGGTGTAAACATATCAGTAATGCTGTCCACAGTTAGTTGTGTAGCATACAATGATTATATGTACTGTAATCCATCCGTGAATAGTTTCGATCATCAGGTTGGTAGGTCACTGAGTAAAGAGACTTTTTCTACATAACCAAGTCTTTTATTCAGCGGTCACCGAAACGTCGGCTGAGCTGAATAAAAGACTTGGTTGTGTAAAAAGAGCATCTTGACTCAGTACTGTAATTCACTTTATGTTCATGGTGGTATCAAAAAAAGTTTACGGTCTGAGAAAAATGTAGGTGTTCAAGGAAAAAAACACAGTATATCTTTAACACTGTTGTGCACTAACTAGACATTATAGGAAAGCACACGATGGAGAACAACTATGAACATCTTGTCCAATCATGGTCAAAGAAAAACAGCTATAGTACCCATAGGTGCGAAATGTTTCTAAAACTTTTCCTAACCCCAACCCCAACAGATCGAGGCTTTGCTCAATATCGCCGAGGTACTACGGTCCAGCAACTCCTCTGTAGTGCCACTGTTCATCAGTCCCATCCATGTCAAACAGGCAATACAGACTTGGGGAGAACTAGGACTGAAGCTAAAGAAGAGAAAGATAAACTTTTCTTCAGGTAAGAGAACAAATAATCACATTGGATTCTGAGGGGGGTTGAATCTTTATCTAGCAAATACACAGTAATTTCTAAGGCAGAGGGCAGGATAGAACCATCAATAGGTACAGTTTTATTGGTTTGTTATCATAAATCGGCGGTTGATAACTGTGTAAGCTGCTGTGTAGCAAGAGGTCTGATTGGGTTTGATCGAGTACAAGAATCTCCAAGCATTTTTGTAAAGCTATTACAAAAAGACCTCTGGTACAGGATTACTTTTCTAGTTGCACATCGTAACGATAACCTTGGCATGCATACTTCAGCACAGCCATTGCATTGATCTTTGCATTATTAATGTCGAGCGACAGGGAGAAAATGCCGATGCAAGTATATAGAATTATAGTAGAAGCGTAAGGCCCCATTCCCACTAGGATAAAATTGTCCAGATCGAGCGGAATCGATTCGCTTTGATCCGGCTTCGACCCGGCTAGATTCGGTTCCGATCCGGTTGGAAGCTGGATTAAAGCCGGATCAAAGCGAATCAATTCGGCTGGATCCGGACAATTCTATCCTAGTGGGAAAAGGGTATAAGGCATTTCCTTTTTGTTCACCAGGTTTCTACTACACCTCCGTGGCCCTGGAGCTGTGTGATCAGGTTAATATCTACGGGTTCTGGCCGTTCCGTACGGACAGGGAGGGCCGGCCGGTCCGCTATCACTACTACAAGTCCGTGGATAGTGGAGGGTTGAACAACAGCTGGCACGAAATGGACAAGGAGTTTGAAAAACTTTCACAGCTCCACAATCAGGGTGTTTTGCAACTGATAACTGGAAATTGCAGATAGTACGTCAGCTCGTCTATGTTAAGTCCAGTTTATCACTCGCACCATTAGGTTCGATATCTTATCAATATACTGCACAGTATATTTCGGTTATATACTTATTCGGAAATATTAATCATACTTATCATATACCCAAGCATGTAAATTATTGTAATTGGACATCGTGGCAAGATTAAGATTTTGGCATTTAACGTTAGTAACTGTTTCGATACTACTATCACAGATCCTCCAAAACGCTGTCAGCCAGGTCCTTCCTGCCAGCGGCGGTCAGGGCTGCTGCCAAGGCGCTTACGTTTACTGACGCCCCCTGGCGGCGCCTCCACTGCACCAGCATCGAGAAGATGCTGTCCGCGGTGCTGAACGGGTTATCACTCTGTCAAGAGTGAAAATCAAAGTCAAATTAACTCTGTCAATAGGGTTTTCTTTGCAGGGTTGGTTTTGATACAGTTGCAAAAGCATGATGTGTACCAGGCTTTAATGGGTCTCTTATGTACTCAGTGTCATTCAAAAAAGCACAGTATCATTTGCCAGTAGCAACTAAAAAGTAAAATCTATGCAATAGGTCGGATATATTTATGTCCTGCAAAATATGTGTATTGCAGCGACTAATAAATATCATTAACGTTATCATTGGCGTAGCTCACTTACTTGTAAGCGCTGGATTTCTGCCGGGGTGAATCCTAGCTCAATGGCAAGACTTTTCCATTCCTTCCCGAGCTGCTTTGCAAGGCGTAACATTCCTACGTCACTGAGAAGGCCTATAGATTAAAAAAGGGTAACATGACAAGTTCACGTGTGCTTCAAGCGTTAGATTTAGGTTGTACTTGACATAGTAATCGCTAGGAAGGTGCTAAAATAGTCGGCTAGATGATCTGTTCTGCAGTTAGAGAGTAGGTAAAAATCCCGGCCTTTTGAAGAATTCTTGGAATCAGGACCTGTCCCGGCTGTGTATGAAATAGGACAAATTTTGTTGTAAATGGCATTCCATTTTCTTGTAGAATAACTTACCTGGATTGGACTTCCGGGGTGGTGAAGAGGGGTACACCAAAGCTGGGTTGATGTCGTCTCCGGTACGGGGGCAGGTCAGGTGATCTGGACGGTCTGTATACAGTACCTCTCCGGGAAAGTGACCGATTTCCCGGGAGGACAAATCCGACCATTCCTGACTGTCCAGCCTCCCGAAACAATGTCCGCAGTCCACGAACAAATACGACAACACACCTGGCCATTCCTTGAGCAGTCCAGCAGCTTTGCTCACGATAGGCATGAGATCTGCCCATCCTTGGTCCAGCTCACGCCCCGGTACACGTGTGGCAAGAAGTAGATACGTCACGTTATGTTCCTTCGTGCGCTGCAGCAACAGGAGCCTGTCGTTTGATGTCCTCACGAGAGTTCCGTCCTTCCATTCGGTAACCCTAGTCACGAGATCATTGATCTGTACAGACAAGCGTTCAAACAAACCTACAGGGCAGTAGCTGATGATTTCAAACCGAACCCTAACTTCTACCTGTCTGTCTTTGATGGCCGAGCTTACCCACAGCTTTTTGTACATTTGGGTGGGGCTGTTCTCTAGGAACCATGGGAAACGAAAGCAGTTCATGGCACCACGGGAACCAGGTGACGCCGTTGAAAACCGGTAGCACAGGTCAAACATTTCGAGCAGGTTGACCAACATTTGGAAGACGTCATCCGATATATTGAGTTCGTGCCAAAAACACCTCAAAAGGCAATCCCACATTGAGCCTCGCTCGAACAGGTCGTCAACTGCGTTTCTGAACAAAGTTGGTGACAGCGTTTGGAACCGTTCGTCCTCCATAGGAGACATTGACATGAGCTCCTGTTTTCGGTCTTGGTTTTTGTTCTTAGCGACCATCGCGAAAACGCGAATCAGCCAATTTGGGTCATGGAAGACGAACTTGGCCAGACCTGGTTTGTCCCTAAAATGGAGAACAACACCGACGCTGTGTAGATGCGATAATGCTAACACTGTGCTGTCTTCGGAAAGGCCTGTATTTCCTTCGCTCTCTGCTACAATGTCCGACCATGTCATGTACCCATGCGTTGCTGCCTTGCCCGAGGCAGCTATCATATTCGATAAGGCAGTCCATGACCGTGGAACCTTCGGTCTGAGAAAAAGTTCTTCGTTCATTATCATGCTTTCAACATTCTTCTTTAGCTCAGCAATGCCACGCAAGTCCTCACTGGAACTGACAATGTCTACAGTCGTCGGAAGTACTGGTGCATTTTCCAACATCCTCTCCAACTCTCTTTTTCGTCGCTGAAGGGATTCCATGTCCATTCCATAGCAAAGATGTGTCGGAAGAAGGCTGCCGAAATGCTCCATCGCCTCACGTATGACCCCAATCTGCTCCCTTAGACACCTAGAGTAGGACGCACCCAAAGTTTTCAATCTCCGTAGGATAGACTGACTCTTTACAGAAAGGTCTGATTCTGTACAAATGTCGGCCTTAGTGCCTACTATGTGCACCACTGCCCTGTTCACTCTTGCACGAACAAAGTCTACCCAGCATCCTACCGCCTGTTCGAAAGAGTCTGCGGTGTCTTTATAAGTACTCATGTCCACAATGACAATGAACAGTGCGTACATTGTGAGGAAAAACTGGTGAGTTAATCGGTAGGACTCGTGACCTCCAAAGTCGTACAGGGTTGCAAGGATCTGCCCACCCAACCTGGTGCTGTTGACATTGATGCCTTCCGTTCTGTCCTCCACGTTGGTTAACTTAGAATGCCCCAACTGCAGTGCATTTGCCAGGCTAGTCTTTCCCGCAAACACCTCTCCCAGCAGCACGACCTTGCCTATCGGCAGCTCGCTTGCCGACGAGACATGCATGTCGTCAAAATACTTGGAGAGTCCTTCCAGTCCATGTTCAAACATGTCAACTGGTGGGCTGGTTAGAGGATTGTTGTCAACGTGTTCTTTTCCAAAGTTCTCGAGCCTCGTAAGATCGCAGATCTCAGCCGGGATTGTCTTGATCAAATTATCATCCACATACAGCTCTCGAATGGTCGTCATCTTAAACAGGCCACTGGGCAGTACTGTGAGTTTGTTTGACGATGCCTTCAGGACCTTGAGGCTTTCAAGTCTGTCTATTCTCTGCGGTAGTGATCGCAGCACGTTACCGGAAACATCAAGGCATTCCAATCGTTTCAGGTTTTCAACGTTAGGGGGGAAGATTTCAAAACTATTATGGGATAGTCGCAATCTCTTCAGGCGCCGTAGGGATTCAAATCCAGGAGGCAGTCGAGTGAGGTTATTTCCTACTGCGCTGAACTCTTCTAACCTATACAAACAGCAGACGTTATCTGCAAGGAGTTGAAGCTTGTTGTAGTCGACTCGCAACACTGTCAGACGTTTCAAATGGGAGATAGCTGCTGGCAGTGACTTAATCTGATTACCAGTGAGATCGAGCACTTCGATTTCTTCAATGGCCACGACCGCGGTAGGTAACTGTGCGATGCCTTGCTGAGATAGATTGAGAGTCTCTCTACCGTCATGGCCTTTCTTCACTCTTCGCTGGTATCTTTCTAGATCGTTCTTGGGAGTCCATATTGACTTGACTGTTTTGACCTCCAAAACCATATCATCCACGTGGTTGATGAAACCCAGTACATTGGCACCGCTACGCTGGTCTAGTAATCCCCCTAGCTTGTCGCAGGTTATATGCAATGTTCTCAGATTGCGGATTCTCTGCAACTGTGGAGGAAAGACATCGAATTCAGCTCCTAGGAGCTTCAAAGCTCTCAGTGTTTGGCAGTTTCCAAAATCATCAGGTAGTGACCTGATACAATTACCGCTGAGAGAAAGCACTTCGAGTTGGAGCTTTTCCATTTGTTTCGGTATCGTGCGGATCTTGTTACCATTTAGCTTGAGAATACTCAAATGATCTAATGAGAATATGCTGTCTGGTATTGCACATACCATATTGTCTGACATTTCTAACTGTCGCAAGGAAGGCAGTAGGGCTATCTGTGAGGGTATTTCCTCAAATTTACAATTGTTCAAATGCAAAGCTGTTAACTTGGCCAACTTTTGAACGCTATTAGGCATTGTAGAAATGTTGTTCCCATCTAGGATCAAGGATTGCAAAGTTGGCAGTCCACACAGTTCCTTAGGAAACTGTTGTAGGTGGTTATTTGACACGTCGATTTCTCTGATGTTTCGTAGAAGCCCGATGTGTCTGGGCAGTTGGACTATCTTGTTGGCAGACAAACGCAGATGCCGCAGGTTATCCAGATGCTGAATCGATATGGGGAAGTCCACGAGCTGGTTCTTGTCCAGATCTAGTATCTTTAAGGCCGACATGTTGCCAATACTTTCGGGTAGCATCCTCAGCTTATTGTTGGAGAGGTTTAGGTGACGTAGATTTTTCAGTTCACAGATGCTATCTGGGAGAGCTTTGATGTCATTGTTCATCAGATATACCACCTTCAGCGAGGACAACTCGCCGAAAGTACTTGGCAGCTCCAGTAACCCATTCCCAGACAGTGTGAGTGATTCCAGCAATTGTAACTCGCCGAAAGACATTGGAAGTTTCGTCAGCTTGTTTCCACGGAGATAGAGATTTTTAACGTTAACAAGATTTCCTATGCGGTCGGGTAGTTTTTCTATCGCGTTGTCAGACAAGTTCACTTTCACGAGATTTTCCATCTCACAGAAAGAGTCTGGAAGAAATCGTAATCTATTTGAACTTATGTAGCAGTCTTTAAGGCTTTTCAGTCTTCCAAAGTCATCGGGTAAACGTTCAATCATGTTGTTGGTGATGTATAGACGCTCAAGTTCTTCTATGTCACATATGGAATGTGGCAAATCTTTGAGCGCGTTGTCCTTTAGATACAAAACTTGCAGCGCTCTGAGGCGACCGAATTTGTCTGGCAATGTAGTTAGATGGTTGTCATTCAAGTTCAACTCCTCTAGCTCGATCAAACTGCATAGTTGTGGAGGTAGTGAGGTTAGGCTGTTGGAACCCAAATCCAACTTTTTAAGCCTTAGCAACTGTCCGATGTCGCCCGAAATGTGCTCGATGTTGTTTCCAAAGAGATTTAGAACTTGTAAGTCGTCGGTTATGTGAAAGATCTCAGGAGGTATCTCTGTAAGGCCCCGACAAGACAGATCTATCTCCCACTGATCATCACAGTTTTTGCGGGGCACAAGGTCCAGCGCCATTGCCTCCTCTTGGAGCGATGCAGGACTTTGTACTTTCTCCATCATTACTAATTTATGAACAACCCCCCAAGACGGTCTAGGGTCGGTTTACATGAGGAGAAATCGTTCGCCCAGTCATAAGATTGGGAAGCATCACGTCTCTTCCGCCACTCTTCTACTTGGTGTCTATAGAAACGTCTGCAACGCATACTGTCCTTACTTTGCAGGGACCATCTCTCTCTTTCTTTCTTTACAGAGTTCTGATAGTCCATCTGTGAAACAACAAATAACATGAAATTTAATCACTGCAGTAATATCATGTGAATTGTAATGGTATATCCCTCCAATCGCATCCACACCTCCTACACATATCATAAAGAAACGAATCTTTCACACTCTATGATGATCTAACTCGTGACACAACGCACTGTATTTGGCCCGGTCCCAGATCTGTACTGCCCCAAAATGCACACGGCACCAATACAATCCGTTAACAACTACATGTACCATGTTGCTTGTGATCACGGGCATAGTGGAGGAAGGAAGAAGTTTTAATCCTTAACAGTGTTGTTAAGAATCCCTTCGTGTTATTTCCGTTTTTGCATTTTTCATAAATTAGGGGTCAGTTGCAGACTGGGATAAAATTATGGCCTGCTATATTTACCTTCTCCCAACTCTCTATTGTTGTACAGTAACACCTAACCAAACATACGTACCGGTACCGGTCACGAGGACAGGTTATGTGCAAGTTTAGATGGGAATACCGACTTAATCATACTTGTAGTACAGGGCTCTAGCAGCGTATGTACATGTGTTACTGGCAAGGCTTCGCTCCATGGTAGCATACTAATACTCGCTCATGTAGTATTAACTGTAACACTCAGTTTATACACGTTGGCACCTGTCGGTAGCAACTACATGACCTGTTTAACTACGGCGGTGTATCGTACTGAGTACATACTATCAGTATTCACGTTTACTCAACAGCTACGAGTACATCCTGAAGAGGCAATGTTTGGCATGTAGTAATGATCGGTTATCAGTATCAGTCTGCCTTTATTATATGTCAGTAATACGAACTTATGGCACATCAACTTACCCATTACCTCGATTATGATATATGTAACTCAAAATCTGATAACACATGACATGACGGAGATCTGCACTGGCGCGTCACTGACGATAGTGACTTGGCCATGGCGGCTGTTTATTACGTTACATAAGCCAAGCCAAGCCGAAGCCATACAACAGTCGCTACGGCTACAAGTTAACACCTAGTACTAGGCGGAACTTAAGATTGGGAAGGGAAAGTTGGGAAGGGCAAGGGCGTTATGTTTAATACGTCCTTGGGAGGGGGGCACGAGAAAAACGCATTCTACTATCGTAGACACTGGTGTACTGAACTCATTTGTACTCCTGACACGTCCTTACCTTGCGACTGTCATATTAACACCGTAAACAACTTCTTACAGCTGCACTGGATTCACGTCCACGTACCTTGCCACTGTCCTGGAGCAGGACATGTCCCCACATCTTGTCTGGATACGGATCGACCTTTACAGTGACGTCAATTTTTACTGGTTCATGTGAGTCATCGAAACAATTCAGGCTTGGGGTGGTGGGCAGGTAGGCGTCCAGTGCTTTGTTTTCGTGGCGTAGGGTGTAACTGAGACGTTAAGGATCTTCATACAATAGACGTGTTTTCTGAATCACGGTGTTTCCTTGTAATGGGGACAAATCATTGATACCGCCTTGGTTCAGCCTATAACGTTACATACCGGATGAGGTCATAACGTTACATGGCTTAAGAGTCCTTGCAGCGCCCCTACAACCATGCTTCCTGGCCCGTCCCTCACTTCCCTGTTTCATTATAAGTGACCTCTTAATTGGGCCTTTCTTTAAGAAAGGCTCCATTAATTAGTTAATTCAGAGTAAAGGTCTCTCCATCCCCTCATCCGTTTTCCTACCACGTTTTCGAAAGTGGAACTTTCATGCCTTGAGGGTTCTCAGAAACACAGCGCCGTGACATGACTACACAATGAGTTGATCAACGTAGTATAGTGAATATGCCATTCTAGCATCTCCTTTTCCTGGGTTTATATAGCTTTTTGTGCACAATTAATACAAGACCTGATAATAGCAGAGGAAATGCTTTATTGCTGTCTCGTGGTATATCAAAGGGGCCAGTAATATACAAATATCACCAGCATTATAGCAAAACTTCATACATCTCACTTACTAGTACTATCAGTATCAAGTACATTTTGTCTCTGGGTCTTAGCTGTGGCACCTACAATATCATTATTTCTTTTGGGCATCATTGCAAGTAGCTTGTTTAACACTTCCATAGAGTGGTGAAAAAAAAGAAGAAAAAAGCCTACATGATGGCACATTTCTACACAGCACACAAATATCCTTAAAAAGGTCCCAATGTGCTGTTGTGCATAAATATTATTATCCGTTATCATTATGTTTATTAACCCAAAATTTCACCAATCAGTTTAATGGAGGCATGTGAATCCCTGAATTTTGAAAATGACTGCTTGTGCTGTACTTTGAGTAATAACAATAGCACACAACTATGAACCTACAGGGTTATCTACCTAAATATGTACAAGACATATTGTACAAATCTATCTAGCAATCCAAAATGAATGCCGATGTGGACAGATATCTGTAATCAGTGCTACATATGACTGCATTGACTTTTTTGGCTGAAAACTAGTAACCTCACAGTTCCAGACTCTGTGTAAACATCACTGCACAGATGTATAGCAAACCAAAACAATGCCTACAACCAACAAACAAGTTTACATAAAATTGAGAAGATGCAATGAGCTATACTAACAGTTTCCAAGTACATGGACATGTATGACAGCCCTTCATAAAACAACCACAAATGCAAAGATATGTGGTAATCATTATCAAGCAGCAGTACAATAAGCATAAAACTTGACCAGTTTGTATAAAAACATTTGGAAATGTTACCAGAAAGATGTGCTTTCATCAAAATAAATGTTTTTGGAGAGCTTGAGTTTGGAAAGGTTGCAACATCAAAACTGACAAAAGATAGTTCTACATGTATATTTCTCATGTCACACCGTCTCTTTCAAATCTACCTTGAAAACTCTCAAACATTGATATGGCACACTTTCACTGAAACAATATCCTAATTTGACACTATTTTGGAGACCTGCAGAGCACCACTTTGATTTAAAACTTGAATATATATTTGTATAGTAGTTAATGATCGGACCAGCATTCAGTGCTGCCTGAATCTATCCCTACACAATCTCTCTTTGGAAAATTGTCATCAAAATTATGCATTTTCATCATTAACATTTGTTGTTTGATTCTGAGTTGGCTAGAGTCACTTTGATTCCAAAAATACTGAAGTTTCAGAAAAATCTACTCCTTCTTCTTCTTCTCTGCGGCCATAGCCTCCACCTTACCAAATATGGGCATACACAGAACATTCTCTATAGGCTTGAAGGGGTCGCTGACATTTGTGAGGGTCAAGGTGACCTTGACAATGACCATGACAATGCCGGTGAGGAGAAGGAGCTGGTCCTGGTTGATTGGCAGTACCCCAGTGGTGAACAGGATAGCAGATATAAGGCACTCCTTCAGTACACTGGAAATATAAAACAAAATTATTATGCTACATCAACATACACATCATGCTATCAACATACACAAGGCCCACATTTTGTGTCTTCTATTTTTTAATGATAACAGCATTTTTATTCAATCCTTCTAGTTAACCAGCTATGGATGGAACTGGCAGGGAATATTTTGTGAATAAGATATTAAAAGGCAATGTACTGCTTGTTTATGATAAAGGAGAAAAAATGTTTTCCTTGATTTCTACAATGGGAAAATGTTCCACTTTCTAAGTAATCCTGCATTTTCCCACATTCTATCCTACCCTAAGCTTTCAAGAGACTGACATGAAATTTAAAATATCAATGTACAAAAGATATTATGTTAATACTCACACTGTTGGGTGAAGAATCTGATTTGTCTCTGGCGACCATTTCCCCCTGACCAGACGTTGGAAGTTTAACATGAAGCCACTACCAGCACCTGTACATCACAAGCAATGATACTCATATTCAATTGTAATGCCACAATGGACAAATACATAAAGTTCTTCCTGGCCTGGATGTAGTCTGCCAAAAAGAACTTATGTAGACTAACCAAAGTTGGCCAAAATTGCAAAGTTTGATGGACTGCAAGGGAGCGCTAGCTACTTGTCTGTAGGGAGGGGGTTATGTTAATCACACAGCAATGATCACACTCACACAACCAGCAGTTATGGGCTGATAATTCCACTCAAAGTGAACATAAGGAGCAAATGTTAATGATAAAATCAATATTGCATGTGTTTAAAATTGATGTATCAAGCTCACAGAGCAGACAAAAATTACAAGCAAGAGAACAACTTTGTGAAGGTGAATTGTTGGAGTCAGGCAGGGACTAGAAAAAGCCACAGAATCAAACAAAGTTGGTTTCTTCCTCTTTTCTTTAATATTGAGAGCCAGTTCTTCATTATTCAGCACTGACACGGTGACTTCAAACACTAAGCTAGTGGGTAGGTCATTGTGCCCAAACAAAAAAAAACATTAAAGCAAATCAAGAAGAAAGAATTGTTTGGGAGGGTGTTCAGCAACAAGCAGTGCACGTTCCAAGCCTACGTTGTAAGCATTACCCTTACCTTTGACACAAGCAATGACAACATGTGCTACATAGCCATGAGGATGGACCTTAGCTGCTGTTGCTATACCATCAGGCACCTTGTGTGCCCGGCGGATTTCCTTGAGACTGAGGACGACAAGTTTTATTGGTAGGAATGTCACCGCCTTGTGGAACAGGTCGAACGGTGCATAAAACTCAAGGTACCTGGTGAAACACAGTGGATAAAACACAAGGCATGAGACAGGTGACAGAACATTTCCTGTTGTTCCCCTGTATTCTGAAGACACTGGTGGCAGCTGTGGATGTAAGGTCATAGCTTAGTCAAAATCATAAGGGACCATCGTGAAAGCTACAACCTTCATCCAAAATGAAATTTGTTTGTTTACAAAGCACAATCTACTCATACTGGTGAAACAGTTCCTTACCTATTTTCTGTAGTCTTTTTCAGAACGTTCTGTATCAAAACACATTTCATCATCATTGATGCTTTCAACAGCAAATTCAACTTTGGATGAACAAGTAGCAATACAGATGGTGCCTGCTGGTGACCAACTTACCATGCACAATGCCAATGCAAATTTGCACTATGATGCCTGAGGAATACACTTTCCGTGCTTTGAGGACCCCTCCCAGTATCGTGTGTGAACGGTGAAGTTCCTTCACACAGTAAACAAGCATCAGTATCGGGGGAAAAGTCACCACCTTGTGAAAGGCATCAAAGGGTGCATAAAACACCACATACCTGTGGAAATAGAAAATATACCTTCAACGTCAACACACTTGGGTATAGATGGACACACTCACCTTCATTGTGGGACTGTTAGTAATTACCTTTCTATGTCTCAAAAAAGTGAGCAATAGCATTTATGGAACAATATATGTCGGTGAACTTCAAATTCAGACACATATCATAATTAAAGCAAAAAATAGTTTTACATGTTATGAACTTACCCCCCAAAAATGGGTCATTTTCAATATAATGAAAAATGGTCCAGCCCACTTTAGGGGTAAAAGTAGCCCCAAAATAAAATTTGGAGGAACTAAACAACCTCCTTCGCCCCATTTAGAGTTGATAGAATAGGATTCAACTTGTCCATCACAGAGCTGCATGCCAGTGTCAGGATATGTCAATACAAGGACAAAAGCTGGCAGGTCATGGAGTACAGGTGGCAAATAGAAAGACACCATCTCAATCACAGGTGACCTAGATACAAAAATACCTGCAGTGTTCACTACTAACTACATTTTTAGTAGTCTAATGTTTTAGAGTTACAGTTACACATAGATTGTGGATTTGCAAAAGCAAATAGTGAACAGTTAAGGCATTGGTTATCACTATGAACTTCTGAGATTGTAGGTAGTGCCTACTAGTACTTACCAGATGGCAGAAGCCAGCAGAACATTTGGGGTCTTGCTGAGTGGACCTATCAATGGCAGCCCGAGGAGGAGACTGCTGATGAACCCCCCTGCGGAACACATCAACATGCAGCACACCCAGTTGGCCAGGGGGTGCTTCCTGGACAGGGTGAGTCCACCTGAGGGGGGCACAGAGAACATGATTTGAGTTTGTATTTAGGCTGAAGACAGAGAATATCAAATACTAAGGAGCAGTGATATTGCTGTTCAATGATGTTGCTGCTTCATTCATATGGTGCTTATAAATACTTTATTGTGATGGGCAAACAACATATTTCTAGAAATTTTGAAAAAAATACATATGTGACTCAAATGACACTTCCTTGGAAGGCAGCATGCCATAACCTACTAACCGTTCTCGGTTTCTGCGTTTTGTTCAATTCACGACCACTAATACTATAATGTAAACATGCATGCAAAAAAGTGGGCGTTACCCGCAATTATTTCTATTTACGTCACAAAAGATAAGCTGATAATATACGGTACTCTAGTTTTCATTTTGATCTCCTCGCCATATCTCCTGTTGCTGATATGTTATTTATCTAGCCAGAGTGAACGTTACAGGGACTCCTAACGTTTGCATTTGACCTCTCCTGACCCCTAAGTAACGTTTGCCAGCACATCTCGTCGAAAAAAGCGCGCGGAGACAAAATGGCGGAAGTAGATTTCACAGTTGCCACGTTAACCATCTAACCAGTGTTACAGGCTGTCTAAACTACGGCTACCTTACCTGAATCAGACCTGACGGCTTGGCACATCAGTATGTAGTGGGCGATCTCGAATATCGGGAACATGGACAGAGAAGCGAACGCCTCGGCTAGATCGTCCAGCCCGAACGAGAACGCGCCCAAGTCCGGGCCTTCCATGGCTACAGTCTGCTGCTCCCCTCCCCTACGCCTTGTCCACTAGTTTTGAAGTATGGTTGGTGTTCCCGCCTAGCCCGCAAATAGCTCACATTCGTGGGAGCTCAACTTACGTCTAGCTCAAGCCAGGCCTGCTTCTACATCCGACTGACTTCCCTGGGACGCCGATCATTTGTATCATGTGTCAGTGTTTGTGTTACGGATTGCTGCTACCTCATTGGTGGGCTGCCTATAAATGGGCGTGGCGCGTGTCAACTCTGATGTGGGGAAATACTTTCACAGCTTTTCCGGTGCTAAATTGTAGCCACTTCAAATTGTCTTCACATCAATCAATGCAAAGCCAAGGAGGTGGGGGCATTATATATTTCACCAACTTAGATGTAAATAAATAACTGAATTTCCCTGGCTTACACAGGACCCCAAAGACTTGAACTTCGTTGAAGTATGATAGAATTTATCAAGGAGATCTAGATTTAACCTCCTGGAATTAATATATTGCTCCTTGTAATTATTATGACAAGCAAGCTTTAGATCTACTCTGCACACAGAAGTGACAGGGCAAATAATTGACTTCGAACACAATCACAATGAATGGAAAAAGTTGTACATGTATTTTCTGTTTACAAAAAGGTGGACTGCCAGCAACAAAACTGTAATTCATATATGTTGAAAACTGGTCTAGCTCTACCTCTCAATCATACATGTATAACTCAGATCTAGAAGTGAATAAAGTGAATGTTTTCCTTATAAAACAGGGCTAGTAACGTGATAAACTTGTTCATGGCTAAGAACTGAGCAACAAAAAGTATATAGTTAACGTTACATGTTTCACATTAGCAGAAGGCCAGGATAAGCAACAAAATGTTTTCAATACATCATATTGCATATTCCCCTTAATACTGAAATAGCTTCTATGGCCCACTTACTTTTATTGATACATTTATAAATACAAAAAGCAGTAAAGAGAACTTGCTAACAGTTGTCAATATATAACACGCAAAAAAGAAGTATTTCCTTGGCAGCACATACAATTTCTGAGGCTACCTTACTGTATTTAGCAAACCTGCAGTCTCTAGAAAATGTACATTTTTTTTTGTAGCAGAAAACTGTTCCCAACATTGCTTAGACTACTTTGATTTCTCCCTTGCATTTGTTGCAACAGTTCACAGTGATCTCCTCATACTTATGTTGTGGATGGAAGCGACCACTCATCTTCCCAACTGGAGCCGCACTTTCTGGGCTAAGTAATTGGAGGTCAAAGTTCATATTCAGCACCTGTGTCGCAGCAGCCTCTGCATTTGTTAGACCAATGCCACTTTCCACTGTTTCTTGGTTTGCAGAGTTCATTGGCTTTATGTTCCCTAGCAGCTGTGCAGATACGGCTGAGACCAGCCGGTGGTTAGCTTGAACAAGTTCCTTCATGTTCCTTGGGTTTGCAGCCTGTTGAAGCGGTTGTGGCTTTCCCCAGCGTAGCGCCTTCACCAGTTGGTCCAGCAGCCGGTATGTCTCCACCATCTCCTTCCTGATAGGTGCTCTCTCCTTCATGACATTGTCGATGGCTGCCTGCGCTTTTCCAAACTGTTGGTAGATGGCGTTCCTCAGGTCGATCAGCTGGCTGACCTGTGTCCTGCTCCCCAGGAACTTGCTCCTCCACACGTCACACTGGATGGACAGCCTTTCCACCTCCTCTGACAGGTCTGCATATTGTTGTACAAGGTTGTCGTGGTCCACGGAGAGCTGTGCCTTTTCCCTGGCCATCCTCTCAAACTGATACTGCAAGTCGCTGCCT